TTGTTCGCGTACCTCATAAGTTCAATCATTGACACTTTTCTATTGACAGTCATTCAGGAGAACCTGTATCTTAAATATCTAATTTTGACAAAATTGCTCGACTTCTAAACTCTTCAGAAAGTCGAATCTTCTTTATTCAATAATTTTTTTTTTAGAATTTCATTATTTTCCTCAGTACTAAAATGGTTTTTTGTGATAACGCTTTTTGTTTCGTTTGTGTTTTTAGGCCCTAAAGAGCATATAAGGGAACGTTAATAGGACGTTGTTCAGAGATTTTCATAGCCATTTTTTGCGGAAAATAAGTTCGTAAAGCTCTTTCATGAAATACCTCAGCAGATAATGAAGGCGGATGGAATTTAGTTTCGAGGGCTTTAAGAGGAAAATTCACTCAAGAAGTTCTATTTAAAAATCGTGTATGAGTGCAGTATGTAGATACAAACACAAAAGCTGAGAATTCGCTAATTTGTACTTGAATGTTTTGTCATTTTCATTCTCAATCAGCAAAATGAATGAAGAGAAAAGGGGAGAGAAAGGGATGACATTCCCTCTCCATTTAAAAGCACATTGCAAGAACCCTCGAGGGAAAGTTCTCCCTCCCAAGCTATAACGTGGTGTAATCATTATAATTTATAATTTCTTATCTTGTGCATCCATTCATCTAATGTATAAACAAAGACTATTTGAAAAACGTTGTAGGATTTTGTGCGCTATGGTGAGATCCTCCGAAAAATGCAAAAAATCACTTTTATGATGGTATTTTGTCTTTTGCGCTATATCAATTTTAAGTTATGGAACTTGACCCGAAACTCAAATGTTTCAGGAAGCATCATTTTTTTGAGACAGGAGGTAATGTTTTTAAATCTTAGCGGCTTCTGGCTTTTCATGTGTATTCTATTGAAAATCACAAGAGGAGGCTAAAACGATTTTAAAAAAAACCACTATTCGTGCATATGTTAATTGAGATAGTTTTGCAGCGCTTTTGATAGAATCATAATATTTCAAACTCAAATCTGTCTGAGGATCATGACAAGCCTTCTGCGGACTCTTTTTCATATACAGGAGATCCTCTCCATAGGGGTTCGAAGATCAGATGGAGGGGATTTCAATAAAACTATTTCCCTTCCTTGAGCGGATGTTTATGCTAGAGTCCTTAGTGGTGCTCCTGTTGAGTTTCGGCATATTGCTTTTATTGTTCGAAAACTTCGCGACTGTTGATCCTACGTGATAAGAATTTCATTGCGCAGCAAGGTTAGGCTAATCAACTAACGAGACAAAACTGAGATACAGCTCCGACATAAGCGTCCTGAGGAGGGCTAGCTTAGTAATTTTATATTTAAAAAATTCAGAATTATATAAGGAAATGACGAGCCCTCGCCAACCCCTCCCTCCCCTATTCCTTGAAGACCATAATCTAACATTTTAGAAGTTTCTGAGTCATTTTTAGGTTTTTGACCAAAAGTTTTATTCAGTGTGCGATGCATGAACATCTTTATGAAAAATATTACTTAAACTCATCATTAATGATTTTTT